AACGAAGGGAAGGGGGGAGGAGTCCGGTGACGTCGATGTCCGTGACGTCACCAGACTCCCCCCCCCACCTCTTCCTTTCGTTAGCCGACGGAGCCACTTGGGCCGGTAAGTTTGCAATGCCCACACTACTTCCATCACATATAATAGTCCCCGGCTAACTGCTCGATGTTAACCAACATACTGGGCATTCTGGAGGACATCATTAACCAAATAGGCTCATGATGCTGCCTGTATCTACTCCCAAAATAGAAAACAGAACAGAGAAGCGCTACTGCTCTTTAGGTATACATATAATTTCACATGTATGGGTATTTATGCATGGCAACATTGGCATAAGGCTAGATAGGCACTGGAAAGATTTGAATGGTTAAAAAATGGGTGAAATGACTCACTGTTGTATGAGATGAATAGATGCCTCCAATGGTAACCGATGAGGAGTGGTGTTTCCCTGCAGAGACGGGCGCCTATCAGGAAGCCCGGGTCATAGGTAAAAAAAGAGGTTATGAACTGTGTGTAATCCCGGTGCCAAAGGATGTCTCTGTAAAGAGTCACAAGCGGGCTGTTGTATGTACACCTTTTTTACGTTATTTTACTTAATGTTGGTTTTGACCTGTTTTCCTTTGCACTGTTTTTTTTTGTTTGCTTGAAAATTGTTTAATAAAAACTATCTGATTTAAAAAAGAGTCACAAGCGGAGTTTTAAGGTCTCGGCTGGCCAGGCTGAGGCGAGGAGACCGCTCGGCTGCGGTCAGACTTGCTGTGTCTCACTGCCAGTGAACAGTGCGATAGATACGCAGGGTGACGTCAGTGGAGGGCTGGGCAGGAGCTGTCCAATGGCTGATTGTATGTAGTGTATACCACATTTACCACTGACTAATGCAGAGTTGCAATGCAAGCAGATCAGCTAAAAGTAGTTGGATCTGTATGTGCGTTATAATTGAAATTAGTCGATTAATCGCTTAATACAAAAATTCGATTAATCGAACACGAAAATTTTAATCATTACCAGCCCAACTTTTTTTTTTTTTTTTATGTCTGCATGCTTTTGGAGGAACCTCTGTTATCATGGACCGCTCACACACTTGGCATGGGGGCAGTTTATTGGTTGGGTCACAGTGGATCAATATTTTGTCCGCAGAAAGCACCCTACAGTATTGAATGCTTTGAATTGAATATAAATGGAAAGAGTAGATTTTCCTTTGCAGTATGGTACCACAATCCATGTTAGGTGCTCCCCTAAATTATTCACCTCTGGATTCCCTGTACCCCATCAGTTATTCACCTCTGGTTCACCTCCTCCCTCATTATCCACCTATGTACTGGCATCTTTCTTCGAATGATGAGCTTATGATGACACCGCTGTCATGAACTTGATGACCCGCCTCTCTTATATATCTCATCAGTGTCCCTCTATGATCATCTCACCCTCACTATGTGCGTATTTTTTTTTTTTGACAGCTGGGTTTCTGCTTTTTTGCGGTGGAAGGGGTGCTGCGAAGAGCCCGATGGCCCAGTGATCCTGAGGCAGCAAAAGCTGGTGGATTTGTTGTTGGCTACACCCCAGATGGAAACCCCATTTACCGCAACCCCTGCAGTCAGCAGGTGCTCAAACTTCTGGACAGCATCTTCTCCCTGGTGCGGTAGGTTTGCTCCCATTCTTCCTTGTGTACAGTCAGGGACATCTTTCCTGCATGATGGTTCTAGGACCAGGGTAGCCAAACCTTGGCCCTCCAGCTGTGGTAAAACTACAAATCATGCCTCTGCCTCTGGAAGTCATGCCTGTGGATGTCAGTCTTGCTGAAGTTTGGCTACCCCTGTTCTAGGTCATCGAGTCACATAGTAGTGAAGTGTAGATGAGGATGGCAACCTGGAGCTTGTACCTTTTTTTAAAGGCAAACTGCAGCCAAAACTGTGGATCATTCTCTCACCAAGTGCTATAGAAATGAATAGGGGAGCTGGAGCCCTGAATTGAATGGTACATTGAGGTTAATTACAGAGCAAATGTGTGTTCCCAGAGCCACAAGAGAGGAATTAATCAGAAATGTTTTTTTTCCCCCTTCTTAGGACGTTCAACAATCTGTACCTTCCTGAGGTTGTCCAGAGGATGGGTGATTTCTATGCCAAGTGTTTGGACATGATGGAGATGGAGAAGAAGTGCATCTTGGGTAAGTAGCGTGGCCTGTGATAGTTGTTTGCAGAGATATGCATGCGTCTTTCCACTCCCTGATGTTGTATTCCACTTGTAGGGTTGACGCAGCCTATCCTGGACACATATGACATCCCCGTGTACCGGAGTACAGAGGAGAGGATGCAGGGCTTCTTCTGCTCCATGTTTGACAGCTGGTGAGTCCTGCTCTGCCTCGGCTGCATTTTATGTCCCCGAAGTCGGAGTTCTTATTAATCTCTTCCCATTTCAGCTACCAGACCTTGGGAAACCTCGGACCGTCCCTGTCGCAGGACTTTTATTCTATTCCGGACTTGGCAGTTCGTCTGGTTAATTCGGCTTTCTGCAATCTCAGCAATGTGCCGGACTTCCGCCTGCGAGTCATGCTGCATATCCTTCAGAGAACAGGGATGGAATTTGGCCCTGATGTGTGGCATGGAGGGCGGATGGGGAGGGTCTGGGGCATTAGTTATTATATCGCAAGTGAGTTGCGCTCGGTCTCGACAAATATAAATAAAATGGAATATGTGTGCTCTATAGGACGTGAAGAAGTTACTAAGTTCAGATTCTACTGTGAAAGAATTGTAAATCTCGGTAGTCACTACCTCGGTAATAATTGTGCAATATAACAATCTGGTGTGGGAAAAGGATTTTCAATCGCCAGCCGGTGTATTGATTAGGTGTTTCTGTGTACTAAGTGTACATGGTTTGTCCAAACAAACCTCTTAGTGATGTGACAATCTATTCAAAGACATCAATCATTGGGGCATTAGTACTTACATTTTAAGTCAGCTGCGGTTTTTTTTGTGTTTTTTTTCTATTTTCAATGTAAGCCATTTGTTCACGTACAAGGGCACATCGTCATTTATACATGTATGGGGATATCAAATACAATTCACTGAGCATCAAAGAGACATCGACACCCTGTCCACGCAGGGCAAAGTGACCGTGTCTCTGTTATAAGAAGTCACTCAGATAAAATATCCACCATATTATGTTACAGCAGAAATTTAGGAGGTTTATAGAGGGGTGATATAGATGGCACAGAGGGGTGATATAGATGGCACAGAGGGGGTAAGGAGGTTTATTGAGGGGTGATATAGATGGCACTGAGGGGGTGAGGAGGTTTATAGAGGGGTGATATAGATGGCACTGAGTGGTGAGGAGATTTGTAGAGGGGTGATATAGATGGCACAGAGGGGGTAAGGAGGTTTACAGAGGGGTGATATAGATGGCACTGAGGGGGTAAGGAGGTTTATAGAGGGGTGATATAGATGGCACTGAGGGGTGAGATTTGTGGAGGGGTGATATAGATGGCACTGAGGGGCTGAGGAGGTTTATAGAGGGGTGATATAGATGGCACTGAGGGGTGAGGATATTTGTAGAGGGGTGATATAGATGGCACAGAGGGGGTGAGGAGGTTTATAGAGGGGTGATATAGATGGCACAGAGGAGGTTTATGGGATGATATAGATGGCACAGAGGGGTGAGGAGATTTACAGAGGGCTGATAGACAAGGCACAGCAGTGGAAAGCCAGCATGGGAAGAGGAGCCTCTGAGTGATGTAGAAGAATTAGTACATGGGCTTTGCCAAGACACGGTCACTTTCCTTAACGCCTTCCCGCACGTCTGTTTGTGAAGCCGCTTATCCTGTCCTGTCCTCCAGAGAAGTACGAGAGCCTTATATGTCCCATCATGGGTCCACTGCTGAACTTCCTGCACCAGGTAAGAGGACTCTGTTCACCTTCTGTCCTATCACAGTCTGAATTTGACCAAAAACGTTAGTTTTAATGGTATTCTCTTTTGTCTCTTCCAGAGATTGTCACAGAAATGGTTGACAAGGTCAGTACACACAGCAGACATGGAATAGGCTTGGGGATAATGAATGGATAGGGGCATGAGGATGGGTATGAGAATGGATGGAGAAAGAGTGAATAGGGGAGGAGCGGGCAACATGGGTGTATGGGGGAGAGGGATGGAAGAAAAGTACAAAGGAGAGGATGGATGGGGGAGAGAGATGGAGATGAATTGATAAGAGAAATGGAGGAGGGAGAAGGGTGGGCGGAGGAGAGAGGTGGAGAAGGGTGGGCGGAGGAGAGAGGTGGAGAAGGGTGGACGGAGGAGAGAGATGGAGAGGAGTGGACGGAGGAGAGAGATGGAGATGAGTGGACGGAGGAGAGAGATGGAGATGAGTGGACGGAGGAGAGAGATGGAGATGAGTGGACGGAGGAGAGAGATGGAGATGAGTGGACGGAGGGGAGAGATGGAGATGAGTGGACGGAGGAGGGAGATGGAGAAGGGTGGGCGGAGGGGAGAGATGGAGATGAGTGGGCGGAGGGGAGAGATGGAGAAGGATGGGTTTGTCTGATTGTGGGAAATGGCTGCCTTATTTTGGCTGAGGAATAACGTTTGGTCTTCAGCAGAGGAGAAGATTACGCAGAAGTAAACACAGAATCTTCAGAGATCCTGGAAATCGAGTTGGCACGGCTGCTGACCAGAGAGATGGTGGATCTGCTTGGTATGTTCTTAGATACTCGTAACAGAAAGACAAATGGGACTGGTGAGGTCTGTGTTATTAAGGTCTCCCTCTTCTCCTGTTCTCTGTATGACACCAGTTAGTTGCTGCGTGTCCAAGAAAACCTCCGAGCAAAGCGCAAACAAAGTGGAGGTGGACGGACTGCGTGGTGTGAATCAGGCTGAAGCAGAGGGTAAGAGGACACGGAATGAACTACATTTATAAAGAACTTGTAAAGTGTGTGTGCACATACAGTATGTCAGGATGAGTTTCCCGATGATAACGGTGGACCATGTCTGTGTGACGTGTGTTGGAGTATCCACTTGTTGTCTCCATCGGAAGTCCGTGTGACAGGATGACCAGGCAGAAGCACAATTGGGAGACGGGGCAGAGCCTGGTCAGGAAGTAGCTTCATGCCAGGATCACCGGGGATTATTTTATTGTTCCTTTTGATCACCGGTTTGTGCTCTCCAGCAGATGAGGAGATGATGAATCTTGAAGTGCCATTACCAGGATCTCTGGAGTTAACCGAACTTGGCAAGTTTCTGATGTCGAGCGAGGTGAGTGCCGATCATTTGGGCAGAGAGCAATTCAATCTCTTAGTACCCCAAGCTGAGTCTTTAAGTGTAATAGAACTGAAGTGATGGGTGACGATTGGCCAATCTGCGTGGATGTTCACCGTCTCTGGATGTGTGGCAGAGGATGCTCTGATTGGATAAAAGAGTGTTGAGGAGGAAGGTGCAGCACAAGAGAAGTTGTCTTTGGGTGGTGGTGATGGTCATAGATTGTGAATACTAAGGAGGTTGTGGTGCAAGTTTGCAGGACAGTAAGAATGCATCTTTGAGCAGTGTTTATATATATATATATATACATACAGTAAATATGAGTTTTGGAACCCAGACTAGGAACTGGAACAAAATGTACTTCATGGAATCATGTTGACACTTTTTTTTTTTCCAGGAGGTGTCCTCCCCTTTACTGATCAGTGCCTTCAGCCCCCTTGTCTGGATGGACACACCAGCCTGTCAGAAAGCCGCTACTCAGCTGTGCTGGCCCCTGCTAAAACAGGTATGGAGCCCCCAGGATCCTCAATGTGTTCCCGAGTTGTGGCCCATTTACAGACTTTTGACACTCTCGGGTCCCTTCGTGTTCTCCTGATTTCTCCCCATCACTCTTTTATCTCTCATGTTCTCTCTCATCCTTCTCTCCTTCCTGTATCTGGATCCTAGAGAAGAAGAGAGGAGGATACTCTGTGACACCTTTGACCTATTAAGTTTTAAATGCAGTAGAACTAATATCTATGGTTTCCATGTACACTATGTATATACTAGGGATCCACAGATACTGATAGTAGTATCGTTATCGGTGCCGATGCCGAGTATTTGTGCAAGTACTCAAATGCCCCGATATTTACCTCCAATACCGGAACATCCCATCAGAGGGAGCATGGAGCCGGCTTCCTTCCCAATCAGGAAGCCGGCTGGTGGGTTATGACCCGGCTTCCTGATTGGCTTGGAAGCCGGCTTCACGTGTTGCTATGCAGCCTGGCTTCCTTACCA